CGCTAAGGGTTGCTATCATGGAAAGGCAACCCACAGGGGGAAAAGCGTCGGTACAGCTGACTACCCAGGTAAGGTACCCTACCTACCTACCTAGACATATCTGCTATACGCTCCTGCTTACGGCGTTTCTCAACGACAGCAAAATAGGCAGGTCCAGTGAAAACCTTGTGACGATCCGTTGTCCAACCTGCATGAGTCCCTACCGGGACGTACCTGAAAATGCGCACTTCAACCAAGAACTTGTTGTGGGAAGCCAATAGTCCAGACCGGTACCACATCTGTATTACTAGCCCCGAAATGCTTTGTTCCAGCCTGGTCAACTGTCACCACGCCTCGTGTCAAGGCTCAAGGGGGCCATCATTCGGAGCTGTCGCTGTCCATCGTGCATTCTTACCTCATGCAGAGCGTTTGTACCACCAGGCGCAATTGGCCAACGGTCAGGGAGCTCAACCAGGATCACTGCCAAACCCACTAACATACCAACATGCACTCCTCCAACATAATGTCATGGGCCGGGCCGGATTACTCGACATTGAGATTTTTTTTTTTTTTTTTCGGTATGAACGATCTATACTTGCCAGACAAGTGACCAACCTTGTGGTATTATTGGATACTGTAAGTCAAGTCAGGGTTTCGTCATCACATCGAGATCGCCGCATGACACAGCAGCGGGCGGAATACGCCAGAAAAGAAAACTCCCCCATGTGCTCATCACAAGCTAAATTTGTATAGTAAACCCCCATATACGCATCATCAAAGGGCTGCTTTTGCAGATGTACAATCCTTGAATCCGAATTTAGGCATATTTATGGATTGCCCTTCTTGAACCAGTACCAGGTCGCTGGGTTTTGCCGATCATCTGACCACGTTTACACCAGTCGACCTGCTTGACCAAACATAGGATGACAGGAGGTGTGGGTGACATACATCGACAATGGTTTGATCCACTTGCACTTCTGCCGGCTCATTGGGTCACTTGTCTATTTTCTCTATTTGTTCACTGGATCTCGGGGTACTTGGTTCTCGGGGCCAAATCAATTTATGGCAACTCTTCCCCCCCTTCCCCGATGGCCATCCAGTCTCTGCGACCCACCATAAAGGGTTTGGCATCCTCAAGGCTGAGGCATCTATGCCATCTCAAATAAAATCCCGGTTTCTATTCAAGTGATCAGGAACAGCCCCTAAAAAATGGGTGATTATGGCCTCGTCTGACTGCGGCCTTGCAAAGCAGGGACCACTGCGTTATGTTCTTTAACGGCAGACTTGAACAGTTGCAGGAACTGAACCCCAGAGAGTAAAGGCTCAGAATCCTCGCGCATGTGCCGTTTGAAGACCTAGGATGATTCTTCATCGGTTCAGAAACTTAGCTATGCAGGCTATGCCAAAGGATCGTCTTGGCAACAGCGCCGTTTTCATTGGTGCACGACGTATCTTCACGTTATGCTTTATCCAGTATACCGATCCACGAGATTCCCTTGACGATTCTTCTTACGAGAAGTACCAACAGATGGCCATTGAGATTTGTTGAGATTTTTGCGCCCAACAATGAAGCCTGTCTGTAGGCTCAATTTGCGTGATTGCAAATCAAAAGTTTCAAACATTGATTAGTTATATTGGCTGCGTTTGCCCCATGGCCAATGACATGATCTCAAAACATCTATCTGAGCAGGTTGAATGACAACGTGCATGCAGCAGTGCCGCGGGCGGCTGGTCGCTTAGCGATAATACGGTGGTAAGAATTCAGTAAGTCTCGTCCGATCACAAGGTGCCGCGCGTGTGTTGGCTCTTGGAAATCCAGAGTAGCCGAAATGAGATTCATCTGCCTCCTCTTTCCCCTTTTTGAACTTTGGAAAAACTCCACGAGACAACGTCGCATTCATATTGACAACCAATGAGAGTCGCAGATCACATCTTAAGCGCCGTGTCCAGGGCCCCCCCTGACTGTACGCCGTACCGTAGTGCCGGTAAGTCCTGCATCATGTACGTAGATGGGGTTCATTGAAAGGCTGACTGGCAAACTGGGGGCCGTGGCAGTACATGGAAATTTACAAGTCTTTGCGGGCGGGATAGAATGGCCTCTTCCGCCGTCTTGGATGGAAATTGGACCAGTTCAGAAGGTCGACAGACTCTGATGCATATCTATGATAGGCAAGTAGGGATGCAACCTCCACGAGTCTCGAACCCCTTTCAGAAGCTTGCTGTGTGTAAACGAACCAAACGCGAAGGCAACAAACACTATTGAATATATCACACGCATCACATCGAGGTCACCTTACATGCCGTGCTGATGTTGGTTAGACGGGTATAAGCCAGGCAGTGCGGAAGACGAAGAAGAAGAAGAAAAAAGAGAAACTTAGACAACGATTTAATATTGGTCGCTTGTTTGACCAAGGCGCAGATGATCACCAACAGTTGCAACCAACGACCCAAATGCAGCAATCGATCAAGACGGCTTATCCGCCTTGGCCGGACCGGACCGAATCTTGCGGATGCTTATGAAGATGTTTTCAGTTCGCCACCCCAAACAACATTATAGTAATACTTGCTAAGTATTGGTCCTAAGCATTGGACCATTATACATAGCAAGTCCCGCCTCTTCTGTCAGTTCAGAGGACGGCGTCCTGATGCCATGGAATTGAGGGCGACTATCATAAGTAGTTGTTATCTGTCTCGCATGTCAATCTACCTCAATCGAACTGGATAAACATATCAATTAATGCCCAACGACTGACCATCGGCCCGGTGCCCCACTGGTTGGAAGTCTCGAAGCAAGAAGTTATCTCCAAAAAAAAAAAAAAAAAAAAAAAAAACAACCACGGGCAAGGAAATGCAGAGCAGAGCTTGTATGCATGACTTTACAATACTATGTATGTCGCTTAGGACAACAAACTTGGCGTCTGGGGGTCAAAGGGGCATATGCCTGCCAACATGAACTTAAAATTCGATTATAGACTTGTATCGTTGCATTGAGCAATGCGACGCCTGCATCACTCGGGCTTGCATGTTACAGGTGCTTGCAAAGTCCATGGCTCCTGCAATGGGGCAATTCCTGATGTCTAAAGTCACTTGTAAATACTTTGTAGTTGGCTCGATTGACCCGATCTGGTCTTAGCACACCGCCGCACGAAATCAACTTTTCTCTGTTGGCGTCCAAACTGGGAAAGACAATCGCCGGTCTCGCATTGCTGCTCGTGGGCAGTGTAGACAAGCAGAATAGAGTGCCCGGCCATCTTTGTAGCATAAGAGAACCATGAAAAGACATTTCTAGCTTGATCAGTGAGTGAGGAAAGAAAATCGACGCACCCCTCAAGGTAAATACAACAAGGGCTGTAACATGATGTTAATCACATCATGCTGCAAGAACCAATGCATGCGATGTGGCTTGTGCTGTGATTAATACTGCAGTCTCTTGTTGAAACAACGGTCCTGCTCTCGAGTCAGCTAGTATGATAAGACTCTTGAATGGCATTTGCTAATGTTCCAATTTCGTTCTTTTCACCAGCATACTACATACTATAAGCGTGATGGTATGCAGGTAGTAGAAAAAGAACGGACAATCTTTCCTTGTCCCCACGATTCATTTGGCCCCATATAGAGTGCTCATCTAGGACGTGGACTTGTGTGTGAACGGACCAGATCTTACTTTTGAGGGATATGCGAAACATGGTGAAATCATGAATTGAGTGATTGACTATTGGCTACATCTCCGGCAGTTGTAGGAAAGCTGCTCCATGATTAGGGCTGCCCTGTGAGTTGAGCGTGCCTGAGGTAGGTAAAGTGCTGGTCTCGCAGGTTCCGAGAAATCCCTTTAGGCGAGGCATTGGCGGGCGTACCAGCCAATCAGAGATGCCAAAAGCCCCGAATCCTCGGAAAGCTTACGGTACGGCTCTCTTCTGGCATCAGGACTCGTCGCGGACACCCGGATCGGGGCCGTTACTCCACTCTATAGACGTCCATTGATTCTATATTCATGTTCCTTCGCTCCGGCCGGCGATTTTGCATCTCCTACGTTGTTGTTTCGACGTCGGGAAGACTGGTGATGGCGCCGCCCACGCCTGGAGGGGGGTAGGTGCGCGATAAGCACGAGGGCAAAACCACGCACACACTGGACACACACACAACCAGCCCCCCACTCGACGGCTACTAAGGGCTTACCTTACAACCTTTTCCCGCTCGGCGCTCTTTTGCTGTTTGACGCGAACGCTCTTTACCAACCAATTACGGGACCACGTGTGGAAACTTTCCCTCGATGAATCGCTGGGCAGGAGAGAGAGAGCCCCGACACTCGCACTGCCCAGCGGCTTTTTCTTTTCTCCCTCGCAGCTCTCATTTCACGCACTCATTGCCTACAGAGAGACAGACCAAAAGAATGTGCAACGGACTTGTCTTACAAATGCCCACTTTATCTCGCGGGATCGGCCATGGCCACGGCTTGAGGCGAGCACGTCTTGGCCCACACGGTACTGAAACCATCGGTCTTGGGGGGATACGTAAATCAATAATCTCCATCGCCTAAACTCCAGCTATGACTGTGCTGCTTGGTAATGCCAGACCACCTCCCCGTTTGCCCGTATCTGCCGCCTGGCTACCGCGGAGCAGCAAGGTTGACCGGGATGGGATGGATGCGTTTCTTTCTGTCGTGTCCGAGCAGGGCAAGTGCAAAAGCACCGGGCCTTTTATCTGTCAGTTGTCTGTCGGTTGTGGAGGTAAGTCAAGTAGTCGGTAGCAAGAGTGTGTGGTCATCCAGGTGTATAAAGAAAGCCACCCTCTTCTCTCTTCCTTCCGTTGTTCTTTCTTTGTCTCTATTCATCATCTTCCCAACACACGCCTTCTCGTACACACAAGTCCACCAAGCTTTCGCAACTACTTTACCCTCTCTCTGTCTTCAGCCAATTCCTCGCGTAAAGACTTCTTTACATCGACAACACACACACACACACACACAATTTGTGACTCTACTATCGTCGACTAAAAACTCTCCACAACTACCAAACCACACAATGTCTGCTGTCACTTTCAACACCATGGATATCCGCAAGATGGACAGAAAAAGCCCCATGGTCTTCCTGCCCCTCGCACCCACCACTTCTGGAACTTCCAGCGTCTCCCAGCCTGCCGTCGCTGAACGACCTGCCGCTCGCCGCACATCCAGCCTGAGCAGTACCTCTTCGGCTTCTGCCTCACCTCCATTCCGATTCCTCCAGCTCTCCCCCGTCCAGAACGGTGAGGACGCCGAGCAGGCTATCGAGTAGGCAATCATACACGTTCATGCAATTCTTTTTTCAGAGGAGTCACAATTCAATAACGTCCGAGGGCATGATCCTCTGCTTTACGACATGGTCGAAATTTTCTATACCGACCCCCCATCCAACCCTCCATGATACTTGATAAAAAAAAAAAAAGACTTCGACTGGGGGAAAGACCACAATGATATTTTGGGGGCGCTAGGCGCCATTCTGCAGCCTTTTTCTCTGCGACTGCTCGGCTTATGAGATTATTATTACTACTTTAGAAAGGGTTTCGGAGCAAGCGTTACTTGAGATCATGATCATGATCACGATTTGATTTTTTGTTTTACTGGTTTATCATCATGAAGATAGAGGTAGCTTCTGGGGAACCCTGTTGTCCTACAAGTTACGGGTTTCGCTTAGTTGCGGTTGCGCGCACCAAAGAATACAAGAAGAATATAAAACCTTTTTTCCCTGCAACCATTGTCATGACAGGGATTTGTATCTGAATAATAGGTTTATAATATGCTGCACTCCGCGACCTTGGAACCTGATAGTGATCCTTGACTCGACCTGACTTTTCTCCCAAATGCTTGCTTCACTTATGACCCCTCCTTCCTCTCTACTTTCCCACGTCCATATTCATTGTCCTATCTTGGATGGATGTCGTGAGGGGCTAATGCGCGCTAATGGCTTAGATCGCAATATGATAAGATCCGTCCATCTCTCGGCTCAGGCGGACGTAAGGGGCAAAAACGGAACCAAGACATAGCTCGTCATACTTGACCTGCAGATCCAGTAACAATCTGAGTCTTGAGCCTTCTTGGCGGATGGAGCGGGAAGTACAAAGTACGTGTTTCTCTCTTGGCAGCTGGGCGTTATCTCTCCATGAGTAAAACCGAGCGAGTGAGATGAGCTATGAATGGCGAATTCTCCTGATTGAGGAGGGGTGAAATCCCACACCGCATTCTCCCAATGTCAGTGTATATGCAATCGTGTCTCCCACGGTGCCTCTAGGACCCTCTGATCAGCCGCATGAGCGGAACTTGAGGTGTGACGTATGTGATTGGTTGAGACAAGAGGATAAGGTCGTGAAAAGACACCGTGCACATGGGAGAATAAGAGAAGAGAAAAAAGTATAAGATAAAAAAAAAAGAGCCGAGGCTGCTGAAGAGAAAACCAGTTGCATCCTGTAAATCCTATCTTGTGTAACCCGTTTTCAAAGATCTAAATTCAGTTTCCTGCCTTCTGAGACACCATTGTCTCGCCCAAGAGACCTTATTTGATGAGAAAGTGTTTAGGCATTTCCTACAACGAATACCAAGAAGATGATCTGCCATGTGCCAAGCATAACCAAGACGGGATGATCATGGACTACTGCAGCCTGGCCTGGCTGCCTGCTGTAACGGACGCATTCCGTACCCTATGGGCCAATCGAGAGCACTAATGTTGCAGCAAATCACAGTGCCAAAGCGGACCCCTTGAACCCCCCAAAGAGGCTTGTGGAAGTCAAAAAAGCAATTCTCGCTGTAACGGCCGCTAGAAAACATTTTATTCTATTTTCTACAGTTATCAGATCTTCCCCAATGTCTTACTCGACAAGTTTCAGAAGGGTCCGGACAGCGACAAAACGTTCATTCTTGCATCTGTCTATTTACTTGGCCCCCCTCCCTTGACACCTGGCGATTTGATCGGGAAACTGCAACACACAACTTGAAAGTGCCACAAACTGGCCTGCAATCTTCAAACCCCCAAGACTCTATCTTGTTTCTTACGCTCTCTCTCTCACACCGAAAACTCACGAATGGCTTGGTGACACTACCAAGACTTTTCATCTTTTTGAATATTCTTGGCAGAAAGCATGTTTCTAGATCGACAGAGTACGAGAGCCAAGTCTGAAATTATCGATTTATCCAAGCTCTTATGACACTCTAATTTTCCAGCACGGACTAGAATTATACGACACTGAACACTAGACGTAGAATTTTGTAGTCCAGCCCCTCCTCACCACCGCATTCGACTTCAACGTGATCGACGTGTGTAATTTTCGTCAAAGATTTACCGAAAAGAGGCTCGAGAGAGATACCAATATCGTTCTCCTGCCAAGTGAAATCGCGACCCCCAAACTTCTCATACTCTCGCGGACTCCTTCATCGCAGCTTGCGGACCTCTTGCGTCGTGCCCCGCCCCCTCCGTCTCTGATGCTGAGCTGGTCATCTTGGTTTCCCACTCCGCCCCAAACATACCAAAAGTCTAATTCTTGCCATACTGATGTTTTGAAAAGGGGCCTCATTCATACCTAGGTCTAGAAAAGTTGCGGGGGCCGACGCCGCGGTATCACGGTCAGCGTTCAGACAGCCAAGGGGCCAAGCGCGCGGACTGCTACATTGTGATACAATAATACTCTGCACGTACTCTCAGTGCCCACCCATGCTTGGCGGCGGCAGATGGGGAAGTATTCGCGAACAAAAATAAAGAAGACCGGCATTATCACACCGCATCTAGGATCAAGCTTGCAAGATCCGGAGGGATACGTGGAGCACGTGGTCACAGGCACAGTCTGTTCCTACCAAGCCATGTGCAACATGAGAATATGTCCAGGCCCACCACGCCGCGTTGTATCAATGGCTTGATTACAACCAACTTGAGAGATGGCCCCCAACAGACCCTCATATTACGTCCTCTTAAAAATAGTATAGTAAGAGGTGCATCTGGCATATCTCCATGCAAGCAAGATACATCCTTTCCGCTGACAGGAGCCATATCTGTTGCGACCCTGCCATGCTCTTATCCCCCACAACATGTGGCATCTGTTTTATTTTGAGATGATACTACAATACACACTACCATGGGAGGCGAAGCTAAAGTAATGGACGCCCGAGGGGGAACAGGGCAATTGTTCGTTGATGTACCAAGCAAGAACCAGTACAAGACAACACTCCCTGCATTCATCCCTCACCGACAGGATTCCATTTGGACGACGTTTCATCCTTGCAGGGCTGCAGTGGATTGATACATAATTAATGGTCGAGCAATCCTCATCGAAGCATGCATCATAGATGTGACCTTGTCCGATCCGGCACTGGGAAAGACTCATGAATTGTGTGTCCTCAATCTAAATTGGCTGCTATAGCACATCCTGTCATGGCAGGATGCTTATTCTAGTGCCTTGTGAGGTCTTGACCTTCTTGGCATTGCAAGCAGTATATGTCTTTGGATGTGAGTTTTCACGCACATTGGAATTTTACCGTCCATGGCACAAAATATTCATTTCAGCCCAACCGGGGGAAAAAAAAAAAAAAAAAGGCAGGCACATCAGAGGTCATAATTCTATGCATCACGCGAATCTAGGCCGCTGGACCTTGGTGATACTACTGCCATCAGAAAAGTCCTCCACCAACCGCCGCCAGTCTATGCTTACACCGTCTTTGTAGCTATCCAGTTTGGCGTGCTTTTTAATAGTTGAATGGTAGGGACACCAGAGCGACCAGTGGATCAGTGACACCCACAGCGTGACTTGCTCTAGGTCCGGGTCCACCAGCAACTGCAAAAGGGCCTGGAATGGCGTCGTCTTGACGACACTCGCGGCTCCCAAATCTCGCGAGACCGAGTGCGGCCGGAGATCGCATACTACCGTCTTCTGGGCACTAGTATCCTGCGCCAGGATGCCCACATCGAGGACCCTGAGGCTGCCGTTGAGTATCATGTCCTTGACGGCGGGCACCACGAGCCGCTCAAAGTCGCCACTGATGCGTCGCATGCGCAGGCTGAGGGATCGGATCCGACGGCGAGCGTCCATGACCTCGGGGCTGAAGAGCTGCCCGTCTTGTGTAATCTCGCTGTACATTCTGCGAGATCCGAGATTGACTATAAACTTGTTCTGCGTATAGAACAAGCCGGACGCCTCTCGGTTCATCTGGTGACACACCAGCAAAAGGTCAGTCAGCAGCATCGGTGAACTTTGCACTAAAGTACAGGTCAGCATAGATCTACACGGGATTTTTGAAGCAGCGCAGCAGGTTATCATGAAAGAGCAAGATATCTCAACTTATGTTCACCACTCTCCTGGGAACAGTGAAGAACGGAAACAGAATCGCCAATGCGTACCACATGTCTCCCTCATGGCGAATATAGGTATGTCCGAGTCCATGACGACGAGATGCTCCAAGATTGCTGTGCGAAGCTCGCCAGGCAGATCAAAGAAGCGAAAATATTGTCCTCCCATTGTGTGTTGAGTAGCAGATACAGTTGAGAGATGGCCACTGTGAAATCGTGGTTCAACGCGTCATGCTAGATGAAGCTCAAATGATGCGGACAATACGAGGCGTTCATCGGGTAGCGGACAGGGGAGCATTGGTGGAATTTATATTATCATGAGACTGATGAAAGGAAACTAAAATATGCTGGAGCTGTTGTATGCAATGAAATATACACCTCATGGACTGCTATTAGCAAGATAAAGAATTAGTCCCATAGAGAAGGAGAGCAAACATGGCTTTTGGCTTGAACACTGGAAGTTACCACGAGTCAATGAAGTCTGGCCAATCAGAAGGTCACGAACCAGCGACCTGCAGCTCCACATTAATCCGGAAGCTCGTGTCTTTATTAATGAACAAGAGGGCATTTTGCTATTTAGGTCATTTGGCAATGATGAACAAGTTTGATGTGATAATACCAGAGCGTTATCTAGTAAAATAGCACACGTACACGGAAAGTAATGAACTCGAGATTCAATTCAGGTATTGTTCATGAATAATTTATGGCTGTCTATTGATGTAATTATTGTACATTGACATTTGAGAGCTTTATATCCATCAATTGATTGTTCTAGGTGGGGTCTTTGGCATTTATTCAGCACCTGTGAAATCTACTGTGGCGGCTTCTGGGTGGGTAGTATAGGTACTGTAGCTAAGCAGTACCTGCAAAGCAGTCACGTACAGCGCGTATGAGCCCTGGAAGCTTGGAAGCTCCAAGTACCTAATGTACCCCGACCAAGCGTTTATTTACCAGACAGATGACGCTAGCGGCTCACATAGGTACATACTTAGCTAGGCTACATATCTGATAGCTAAACATCAATCTTAGCAGATCGCAAAGGTCACTTTGCGAAAGACGTTGCCGGTCCAGCTCAGGCACAAGCTTTCAACGTCAATTCTTCCTCATTCTTGCCCTGAAATGGTGCAACGAGGTTCACGATGCAGTGCTACACGGAGTTGACGCCTCCCACAGCGGTAACGCACTCCATTGTGCTGCCATTCACCTCGGCGCACGCGCATAACCTGGTCATCGCCAGAGCCTCCCTCCTCCAGGTCTTCACCACGAAGTCAGTGTCGGCCGAGGTCGACAATGCCAACAATGCCGCCCATACGCAATCGTCCAAGGCACCTGGCCACTACGATAGCCGAATCAACGACGACGACGGTCTAGAGACCTCATTCCTCGGCGCAGACTCCATGCTGGTGCGTTCCGACCGCTCCAGCTATACGAAACTCGTCCTCGTAGCAGAATTCCCATTGTCGGGCACCGTCACGGGACTTGCGCGCATCCGTCGACAGAGCTCAAAGTCCGGTGGTGAAGCCCTCCTGCTGGCTTTTCGGGACGCCAAGCTAAGCACAGTGGAATGGGATCCGGAGAAGAACACGATATATAATACATCGGTCCATTTCTATGAGCAAGATGATCTGCAGAAGGTGCCGTGGGCGGCGCCGCTGGGCGACTATGTCAACTTTCTGGCTGCCGACCCAGGTAGCCGGTGTGCAGCACTCAAGTTCGGTGCGCGCAGTTTGGCTATCCTGCAGTTCAACCAGTCCGAGGAAGAGGACATTGACATGGATGACTGGGATGAAGAGCTGGACGGACCCAGACCAGCCAAGGAGCTGTCCACGACGATTGTAAATGGCACTAGCAGCAGCAATGAAGATACACCATATTCGTCCTCATTTGTCTTGCGACTATCCAATCTTGATCCTAGTCTGATCCATCCCGTGCATCTTGCCTTCCTCCACGAGTATAGGGAGCCTACGTTTGGCATTCTCTCCTCGACCATGGCTCCATCTGCCCAACTCGGCCGTAAGGATCACCTCACGTACACCGTATTCACCCTCGATCTCAAACAGAAGGCATCAACCACCATTTTGTCCGTCAACGGGCTCCCACAAGACCTATTCCGTGTCATAGCCTTACCTGCTCCGGTTGGCGGTGCTCTCTTGGTTGGCACCAACGAACTCATACATATCGACCAGTCGGGTAAGACCCATGGCGTTGCAGTGAACTCATTTGCAAGACAAATGACTTCCTTCGGCCTTGTGGACCAGTCTGATCTTGGGCTTAGACTTGAGGGATGCGAAATCGAGGTCCTAGCCCCCGAAGTTGGGGAGATGCTCATAGTATCGAATGACGGACGCCTTGCCGTCATTGACTTTCGAATCGATGGCCGCACAGTAGCTGGGCTCAGTGTCAAAACAGTTTCGGAGCAAGCAGGCGGCCTCCTGCTCTCAAGTCCTGCGTCAACTCTTGCAAACTTGGGAAAGACAAGCCTATTCGTCGGCAGTGAGGACGGAGACTCCGTTGTCATTGGATGGTCACGAAAACAAGCCCAGACTTCACGGCGCAAAGGCCGCTTACATGATACCTCGATGGATGCAGATATCGATGATGAAGACCTCGAAGACATGGATGATGACGACGATCTCTACGCTGACGAGTCTGCCCCTGCCAAGCAGGCGACCGTTCCACTGGAATCTTCAACTTCCAAGAGCGGGGAATTGCTCTTCAAAGTCCATGACAAGCTGGTCAGTTTAGCGCCCATCAGAGCTGTGAGTCTAGGACCCGGCACAGCGACGTTTGAGGAACAAGAGACCAAATCAACAGCAACCATGAGCGATTTGAGTCTCGTATGCGCGGTCGGCAGAGGCAATGCCGGCTCTCTCGCCGTGATCAACCGCGCAATACAACCAACGGTCATTGGAGAGTTTGACTTTCCCGAAGCTAGGGGATTCTGGACGCTAGCCGCCCAGAAACCCGTACCGAAATCGTTGCAAGCTGATAAGAGTAATGCGCTGATGGGAGCCGACTTTGATGCAACAGCACGCTATGATAGGTTCATGATCGTGTCAAAAGTGGACTTGGACGGCTATGAGACATCGGATGTCTATGCCGTGACAGGGGCTGGCTTTGAAAACTTGACTGGCACCGAGTTTGAACCAGCTGCTGGGTTTACCATCGAAGCTGGCACAATGGGAAAGAACAAGAGGATCATACAAGTGCTAAAGGCCGAGGTTCGATGCTACGATGGAGGTGAATACTCTTGGCAAACCCCATGACGTACCGTACTAATGCAGCTGCAGATTTCCATTTGAGTCAAATCCTGCCCATGGTTGATGAGGAGACTGGAGCGGAGCCCAGAGTCGTGAATGCCAGCATAGCCGACCCCTTTCTGATGCTGGTGCGAGATGACTCGAGTGTCTTCGTCGCAAAGATTGATAAGAACATGGAGCTTGAAGAACTCGAGAAAGAGCACGAAAATCTCATTTCTACCAAGTGGCTCACGGGATGCTTGTACGAGGATAGTACTGGCATTTTTGCCAACGTTCAGACAGATCATGGCACCAAATCGGGTGAAAATATAGTCATGTTCCTTCTTAGTGGGCATGGTGCTTTGCATGTAAGTCAAGATCGGTCCAATGGCCTATTCGTACACAGCGAGCTGACCTTGCAGATATACGCTTTGCCGGACCTCTCCAAGCCCATATGTGTCGTAGAGGGCTTGCCATTTGTCCCGCCCGTCTTGTCTGCCGGATACTCGGCCAGACGTGGCAGTGCTAAAGAGACGATCACGGAGATTCTCGTAGCCAATCTTGGAGATTTGACATCGTCGTCACCGTACCTTATTGTAAGCTCTAGTCCGTTTCGATTTCATAGACGCTGCTGCTAATAGCTGATAGGTACGACACTCAAACGACGACTTGACCATTTACCAACCATTCCGGGTGTCTTCTGGCGAGGAATCTGAAGAACTTTCAAAGTCACTTCATTTCAAGAAGATAACCAATGACCACCTGGCGAAGAGTCCTGCAGCCGTAGCAGATGATGAAGCTGAGCAGCAACCAAGGATGATGCCCTTGAGGAAGTGTGCCAATGTAGGAGGGTATGAGACCGTATTCCTACCTGGCGCTTCTCCCAGCTTTATTATGAAGTCATCAAAGACGATACCCAAGGTCATCAGCTTGCAAGGAGATGGCATAAGATCACTCAGCTCCTTTCACACTGAAGGCTGCGAGCGAGGCATCATATACGCAGACTCTCATGGCGTTGCGAGGGTCTGCCAGATTCCTGTCGGAGATACAGTCTACGCAGAGATTGGCATGCCTATGAAGAAACTTCCACTTCATATTGATGCCAGTTCCGTCACCTATCACGCCCCTTCTACAACTTATGTCGTTGGCTGCGACTCTAAAGAACCGTTTGAGCTGCCCAAGGAGGATGACTATCATAAAGAATGGCAGAATGAGAAAGACCTGGCCTTCAAACCCATGGTAGAGCGAGGCGTTCTCCAGTTGGTGAACCCAATCAACTGGACAGTCATCGATACGGTGGAGATGGAGCCTTGTGAGACTATTCTGTGCCTTGAGACTCTCAATTTGGAAGTGTCGGAGTCGACACATGAGCGCAAACAGCTCATCGTTGCCGGCACAGCAATAGCAAAAGGCGAGGATCTACCCATTAAAGGGCGTCTCATTGTATACGATGTAGTGACTGTCATCCCAGAGCCTGGACGGCCAGAGACGAACAAGCGACTCAAGGTTGTAGCAAAGGAAGACATCCCCCGGGGCGCTGTCACAGCACTCTCCGAGATTGGAACTCAGGGTTTGATGCTCGTTGCACAGGGTCAAAAATGCATGGTCAGAGGCTTGAAGGAGGATGGAAGTCTGCTTCCTGTTGCTTTCATGGATATGAGCTGCTATGTGACGACTGTTCGCGAGCTGAGAGGCACTGGTTTGTGTCTCATGGCTGACGCAGTCAAGGGTGTTTGGTTCACTGGATACACGGAAGAGCCCTACAAGATGATTCTTTACGGCAAGAGTTCAACAACATTGGAGATCCTTACAGCGGATTTCTTGCCCGACGATGACGAACTCTCCATCGTGGCATGCGATTCTGATGGTGGAATCCATCTCCTGCAATTTGACCCAGATCGTAAGTACCAGAAGACGCGCTTGATATTCATATGCTAAGACTGTCCAATAGATCCCAAGTCGCTAGGCGGGCATATGCTCTTGCATCGCACTACCTTTTCAGTGGGAGCCCACATGCCATCGCGGAGTCTCTTGCTGCCACGTACTCTCCCACCAGGCCACGAGTTGATCCACGACCGCTCAAACATGAACGACAACGGAACTGCTGCCGCACCTGCGCCGCCTCAGATCCTCCTTCTTGCTTCGCACACGGGCATGTTGGCGGCTCTGACACCACTTACTGAACAGGAGTATCGCCGTCTCTCGTCACTGGCCTCTCAGTTATCGAACAACCTAGCGCACCTCGGAGGCCTAAATCCCAAGGCCTACCGCGCGCCTGTAACCAGTGCCGTGGTCGGCCGACAACCGCCAGCCGTAGATGCTGGCGTCGGCAGGAGTATCGTGGACGGCGCCATGCTAAGCCGCTGGAATGAGCTGGGTGCTGGCCGCAGGGCCGAGATTGCCGGCCGCGTGGGTTTCGCTGGGGTCGATGAGGTGAGAGCCACACTCGAAGGCTTGGTTGGTGCCAACGGACTGGGGTACCTGTAGTAGTCGAGGCGGCTAGATTTGATTGCGTTCTCTCTCGATGTAAGACCCAGACGGGACCAGGTGTTACTGAATGACGCCGCTTACATGGTCATCATGGCTGATATAGTACCGAAAAGACCCAGAAGGGGGGATTTTATATGTACTTATAGATAAAACATTTGCATGACCAAGTTGATTAGGACAAGAGCGACTTGAGATAGGTTCAATGCGCACAGGAGTCGATATGTTTGCGATGTGGGCTTTCGTGAGAAGACAGATCCCCATTAGACTGACTGATTTTCATCTCAAGATGAGATCAAGTTACTGTGAAAGCAGTCATATTCCGTATACCCTTTTCATGTGCGTATACTATGAGCGGGTTGCAATGCCCACCTAACCAGACAGTCTCGTCGATCTCCAAGGGATAGTAAGCAAGCATATGTATGAGCACAACGACGTACATATTTATCAAGACGAATCAGGGTCCAATTACAGTTCGATTTAAAGGTGGTATCCTAATTCAACGCTTTAACATGGGGGGTGTTTTTTTCTTCGAGAAGGCCGGTCCGACGTTTCTCAAAGGACGGATCTCTCGGAACATATATGCCTTTTCAAATCCTTTTTTAAAAAACCATACTTCAAACCCTCCTAGGCCGTATTATACCGGCGACACAGGAGTCCAAAAGAAAACATCCCCCGTTGTTCCTTACTGTCCATAAAATTATTGCCGACGCTGAATCTGCTGCAATGCGGGTCACAGAGAGACTTGGTAGGGCAGAACTGCTCGCAGTTCTTGGTCGACTGGCCAGCATGCATAGTTGCGAAGCGCTGTGCGAGCAGAGAAGAGATCTAACAAATGAAAAAAAAAATGGGTGCTGTTGTTGATGCGCCAGATTTTCTGGGCAAGTTTGGTCGACAATATACGCGTAACCGACCTTAGATCAAACACATCTAGTCCTTGAGCTCCGTACCTCGATGAACCCAACTCCGCTTCCCATATACATTCACCAAGCCATCATGACTCATGTGGCTTCTGAAAGCACTGGGAAGCGACACGGTGCCACATGGACGTCTTGAGCCAACGCAAAAATTGGCTTTGGTCTCGAAACCCACGACTGCATCGTCCATCGTGATGCCAAGGATTGACCGGAGTGACAATGAGTCTCTCTCGGCGTGCTCATCATTTCATGTTAGGTCGGATAGCAGCGGAACGTTCGTTCACCAGGATGTGTCCCGCTGTGTCGTCTATGCTGGTTCGTGTCGAGGGTCCTGTTCAGGAAAGTCCTTTACAGGGTAACATCGAGGACTAAGCTAACGTCGCGCACATCCGAAGTTGCCAAATCTTCAAGGACGGGTATGAGGTCCAGTAGCTCGTTGTCATGCGCATCGGAGAACCAACTGCTGATCGGCACGGCATGTTGAGGATGGAAAATGTACGAGGTCGGTGAGTTATCAATAATGATGGTGTCCTTCAGATCACGACCGACTTGCGATAGGTCCTTGACGTAGTTTCCCTGGTGGTTGTAACAGCTCTCTCGGAAAAGACGATGGTGAACCACCTTGTGTATGTCGAGCTGATCGAGTAATGGGTCGCCATACTGTAATACTCAATTAGCCAAGCCCGTCATCCCCTTCTCACGGAGAGGATACTAACCTTAGAGACTGATGCTGTGAAAACAACTACTTCGTAAAGCTCTCCGACTCTCTTCATAAATTGGTCGACGCCGGGCCTCTTGATAACATAAACGTTATGATAGTTGCCCTCGATCTCTACCGGTATCGTGAAATCGGCCTGGTGCAGAATCTGTACGTACAACTTGATTAGCATACTATGAAAGGGGGGTTGCCCCGGAAGAGGTAGACAAAGACCAACCTTGAAGGAAGAGTGAACTAGTGTCTCGTCCAGATCAAGGACCAAGCATTTGCGGCCTTTGTGCTGTGGTTGGATAGGAGGAAGAAGCCATTTCTGCTCGGGAACCGGCTCTGGAGCCGCCACTGCGACCTCTGTCTGCGAAGGCAGAGGTTGGCTTGCGTCCGGTACAGGCCCTGGAGGAGGTGGGGGAACCTGTTTCTGATATTGTTCCTCCGATGCTGTACTTGTTTGCGCTGCTTCATCTCCGGCGCCTGCATCTGCCATTTCCACATCGCCATCAACATCCTTTCCAGAGACTGGCTCTGATGGCTCACCGGCTTCGTGCGTTTCGACAACCGGTGGGTTTACCGTGATGCTGGGTCCTGTCTGTCCCCCAAGTGTAGTCTGCTTTGATTCAGACTCCCGATCGCCCAGAGTCGACTGATCTTGGGCGGTGGATCCGGACACGCGCTTTGTTGTTTTCGAAGCATCCTGCGTAGATTCTGCCGGAGCCGTCTGCGGTTCCTTCTCGGAGACTTGCGTCTTGCTGCCCGTGGTCTGGTCGGACGGAGTTATCGTCCTTCGGCTCGAAGTCAACTGGCGTTGGGGTATCTTGTCAAGCTTGTGCGAAGGCACTGGCTCCTCTCCACCCTCCAGAGTGTTCGCATTGTCAGGCACTCCACAGCAGCCTAGCAGTGAAAGAAGACCACCCTTCTTGCGCCTGGGAGCGGCTCCGGCAGGGGAATTCGGTCCCGATGTGCCCGTTGTGCCAGCCCCGGAGCGGTTACTAGACGCGCTCCCATTTCGGCGACGTCCCGACATGCTGCCTCTCGATCTCTTTGAAATACCCCCGATGCTATCTCTCGAACCACTTGCTGTTGCCCCGCTAAGCCCTGTCGTGGTTGGCGATGGCTCAATCTTCTGCGATGACGATCTCGAGGATACGCGGAGTAGTCTTTGCCCGCGGGAGCTCGAGGCTTCTGCTGTTGCGAACGTTTCCTTGCTTTGCTGAGGATGCACCTCTAGATCACTCATGTCAATACCCAATATTGCACTAGAGATGGCTGATTAGTTTCCAGTTCCCAGTTCGAAAATGACAGACAGCAGATTGCAGTTTATGGTCTCAAATAACGAGACCCAAAACAGAGGTCTGTTCCGTTTCTATCCTCGCAGTAATAATGGGAGGTAGACTGCGAAGCGACAACTGTTCCGCGCACACGCACACAATATTGCCTTCCTTGCTGGAACTGGGCGCCAAAAGTTGGAGCCAGCTTGAATGTACAGCAGTGACGGCAAGGTGAGGCTGCGACTGCGTGAAAAGAAATCCGAGCGGCCACTCACCTAAATCGTGTCAGTCAGCCTCAGATGACTGCCTTGACCCCTTTCGCAATAATTTGCTGCCACGAGATACCGGTTGGAAGATTCGCGCTGCGGCTGAACTTATGGCCTGAAGATGTCGGAAAGAGCGCGCAAAAGCCCGGGTTGTAATGACGGTCGTGAAAAGTGTCGTGGTTTGTCGCGTCGTAATAGAATCGACAGGTATCACGGTATAGGGGAGTGGAGATCCTGGAAAGGGAATTCTGGATGGGCAGAACGAGGTAGTGGTAGTGGTACCTCTAGGTGGTAGTTGGGTCTTTTGGTGCAATCGTCTAAAGGAGCTTGCTTGGTCGGAGTAGGGAATCAGGTCAGACGACCAGAGACGGACAGACAGTCAGACGAACTTCCACGGTGCAACAAATTAGGCGCCAAGTCGGGGGGCTTGCAATTCCCATGCAAAGGCGATTGGAATTATGATGGGTAGAAGAAAGAAGCGAAATAGTACCAAGAGAATAAGAAAAAGAAAGGCGTGCTGCCAACGTCCGCGCAACGGCAACGGGAAACGGTTGAAGTTGAAGGTCGGTAACTACGTACAAACAACGGGACGACAGACGAATGACAGACGCAAGAGACAGGACTCTGGAGGACCTGAATGGAGAAGAAGAGAGAGAAGGGATCGGATGAATTGAGAGGAGCGCTACCTGGTATCAAGCGCCTACAATACCCACTTGTAGGTACAAGAGAGGCTGAACACACGGACACAAGAGACGGACGGGGGGTGAGAGAGAGGAGAGAGCGAGCGACTCTTTCCTCAACAGACATGCAGAGAGAGAGACACAGAGAGTGAGTGGGAGTCTGGCTGGCCTGGGCAAACTAGAACTGGAGTCAGCAAGCGAGATTTGACCCATGGTCGCCGTGCAAGAAAGTGCCCGAAGCGCAGGGCCTCTCTACATTAGACTGGTTCTGCCCATCCGCGCTCCTTTGGGGGGTGGGTGATGGTGGGTAAAAGCCCTGTAGCTTGTGTAGCGGGCGGGCAATCACAGCACCACCTGCAGCTTCCACCTCCCTGGTAATCATTACAAGAACATCATTACAGTTAATTACTCGACATTTGGCCCTTTTCGAAAATCATCATCATAATTATTATCGGCATTACCTTGATTATATTATCCTCAACAATATCGCAGAGAATGAGAGGGTCCATTGAGGCAGGGCTCACCAACAGCTACTCCCCTATAATTGCTTGCTATGGGATGGACAAAACAAGCGCACAATAATGACCTTTCCATCTGCATGCACCGTGTGTGTATGTACATGTATGGCGACTTGTGTTTTTCCTAGTTACAATGCCTCTTCTCGTTGCTAGCACTGCTGTGTCCTACTGCTTGCTTGGACGACTTCGCACCCATCAACCCCCAAAGGCTGGCTCCTGGTCGGCGGGTCGCATCCGAATTGCTTCCCCAGTCACCCATGGAAATCCATCCTAGGCCAAGACAACGTCTTGCCTGCTTTGGGATGGAAAGGCCGAAACAGACGAGGCCAGAGGTACGCCGTCGAAGCTGGCAACTGTTAGTGATTGACGCTGTATTGGCTGCCAATTTCAACAATATGCAGCCCAGGGCATGTCGAGCTCCATCAGATGGACGGAGACCTCCCCACCACCTAATTCAAGCTCTCCATCCCCCCCTGATCTCTGGCATGACAATAATTAGCACTGGGCCGGGCCTAGTTCCTAGCTGTCCACCCATCGGACGGACCCACGCGGCAACCACGTTCAATTTGGCCTTATCCATGATCATCAGCTCCAGCCAGCGGGCGGCCAGGTACCCGCGATTCCAGCAGACAGGCGAGACAGGATGCTTTTTCGAATCAAACTCGACTCACTGTACAGATCAGAGTGTAAATTGAAGTCAGACCTGTTCGTGTGCATTGCCAGACCTTAAAAAACTAACGCCTGAACCACTATCTCGGAAGAGAGGTTGCCTCAGGCCAAATATGTGCCTTCGTCATTCACGATCATTTTCACGTGGGACCAAATACACCGCTGGGCGGCGCCATTTACACTAAGCATTGGAGCCAACGCCGCCTCACCCAAGTTTATTGCTGATGACATGAGGTAGGTAGGTACCTTCTTACCTACTTTCGTGTACTGTGCATTATCTAGGTGCCATAATTTTTTTCCCTCCATTGATCCCATTGCAGCTCCATGGCATTCTGTCTGACCAGTACCTATGTCTCTAGGGGTCATGCTCCCAGACTCCCCCCCAATCTCTCAACGTTGAACGAGTGAAATCAAAAATTCCCCGCCTCGGTCTCCGCTGAAGCTGGCCCGAATGTAACGAATTGGGACATCTGTTACTTAGCTCACAAATCCGCTTGCTGACCTGGGTAACAGATTGGCTCAACTTAATCGGGTGCTGCCCATACAGGAGCAATGTTGAATCACGGCGCTAAGAAGGTTTGATCCGGTCCCTAGGTTAGATGGCATTGAACCAGATGCGACCCTGGGAAAAATACTACTACGAGGAGCCATAATCTGACTTGGAGGAGCAATTGAGCTGTCGAGTCAAAGGCCGTTCTGTTAATCTGTGGTTCTGATTGGTTCTGTTGGCGCCCATTGTAAAGTGACCCAAGGAAACGTGGGTGGGCGCCAACTCTCGAACGGCTCTGGGCGATCTGCTTGATCTGATAATAGGGCCTCTCTTGGGTAAGAGCCGCCCCCCCCCCC